CAGCCTCCTCCTATTCCTTCGTGGATCCTTGAACCTGTCTCATGTGCTCCCTGAGAGATGTGTCCAAGCCACTGACTTTGCTTTCCAGTTGAGTGATCCTTTCACGCTGCTGCAAGATCTGGTCACACTGACGGTCCGCTTTGGACTGCTTAACAAGGGATATCTTACACTCTGCACACAGACAAGACAAATTGGGAACTTCTTCAGGGCCTTGTAGGCACCTAATGCCACTATCTGACAAGATGCATGGAACCAATTTGTGCACTTGTCACACTGGACCCCATTTTCTCCATCTTTCACTGGGTTACCACAAAGCAGAAGCCCTGGGCCCCCTCTGCAACAAGCAGAGTCACTGCCAGCATCACTACCCCACAGTCTATATGCGCTTGCACTTAGTTTGCCTACCTCTTTTGGCCTTCCAGCCGCACTCTGGGACTCAGTTGGCTCCAGTAGGGTAGCTTGAGAATGAGGAGACAAGCCAGATCTCTCCCCAAGATCTCTCCCCTAGTTGCTGATCTCCTGTGCTTTTCCTCCTGGTTAAATACCAAATCGGTGTTTGCATACAGAAGAAAACATTGTAATTCAACAGCTGCATTTCTGCCACGTGCATCAGCATTTGCATGCAGAAGAAAGCATTGCTACATGACATTGGATAATTTGTAGACGAAGTATGAGGTGCAGAAAATTGGATTGGGACGCTGTTGTGAATTTCGCAGGCATGTGTTAGTCTTTCAACGCAGGTCCATGTTATGAGTCGCGATAGTTTACTCTTGAAGCTACAGCATGTCATGCATTATCTGTTCATGAAATGGCATGCACTGCATAAATGGAAAACTTCATAATGATGTATCACCTCCCTATTTTATTATCTTTATTTAAACGAAGAAATCCTTTTTCCTCCAACACTCGCTACCAACATTTGCTAGAAAATTATAAACCAATCTATGGTTAAGTAAACACGAGTGGGACAATCCTAGATGTACAACACACCCCGAAACCACCAATGCATCCCGCTAAAAGCTCTGCGGTTTTTTTAAGACAGCGGGTTGTGGGCCTCTGGGCTCAAAAGTGGCAGCTCTGATACTCAGCTCCATGCCTATGCAAAGGGTAGGGAAACTCTGCTTTACGCTAGTCTGACCGGCAGGACGGGTGCTACAGTCAAAGCCAGCTGGTGTGCAAACAATGGCGGGTAGTGGCGTACGTCTTGCATAGCTGAAATGCGAAATTAAGTACGATTCCGTGGCCATTATCGCACCAGGCAGTTTGCCGATTGTACATGCCTATGATATCGATTGTAGTGGCTCATTCGCATTACGCTGTTCATTGTTAACATTACGCGGAGGGGTGGAAGTGACTGTACACCACTAGTTATGTGTAGTGTTAATAGTAATGACCTTTGAGGAAGTAAGTTGTGTAACTGTATGTCTAGTGAGTTAGATCATGATTACGTTTTGTTCATCCGGCCGCCTTCATGCGTCCTTCTATGAGAGGCGTAGCCAAGGTTTCTCTTAGTAGGGGCCAAATCGGGTCACAGGGGCCCTTTTAGCCACGATGGTCTGCTCTTCGTCACTATAGGGGCCGTGTTTGTGTACTCGGAGAGCGTTTTTAGGCCCTGGATCCCATTTTGATGCCGCGGGGGTCTTTATATGTTTGAGAAATTCTTCGGATGTTTAAGACTGCTCCTGGTTTCTGTTAAATTTCCACTAGTCTTCGGCCCCGGAGTCATGTTCTGCAGTACAGGCATGTCAGTTGTCCGGCCCCTCCCCCGTCGCCGACCTGACCAGGCGGCGTCCGCCGGCCGGGCCGGCCTCATCGCTAAGTGCATTCCCGCCGTCGGTCAAGATATATGTCTGTAGCTGGCCGACGCCGGTCGACAGCGTAGGAGGGGCGGCGAGCGTCGGTGGCGTCGGTTCCCAGGCGACCCCGGAACAAAGAGCCGCCTGTGCGCGCGCCGGCGGCGACACCCGGCCGTGGGAATCGTCAGCATACCAGCGTTTTATTGCAAGCGCTCGCCGGCCGTTTAAAGAGGCCGACCGGCCGTCACTGGACGTGCTCTGGTGCGCGTCAGCGGCCGGCGTGCCGGGAGAGGAGCCCGCCTCGTAAACAGCGGCGTCGGGTTAGCCGAAGCGCCGCGGTCTCAGCGTGAGCGCCGGCGAGGCAGCCGGCCGTGGCGCAACCGGCCGGTGTCATCGGGTGATTCAGGGCGGGGGGATCACACGCGCCTGTGCTCTGCCGCTTGTTTATGTGTGTCCACCGGGGAGGAGCGGGTGGAAAGTGAGGCGATAAACCTTCGGAGTCCATTAGTGAGCGGCCGCAAGATTAAGCCATCAAATCGCCGGGACACTTGCCGACGGCTGAACCGGGCGTCAGTTGTGCTTTCCTGCTGGCTCTGTCGGAGCGCCAGGCGAACAACGTCAGACATCCAGCGAACCGTGCGCGGCTACATCCCGTGCCTTAGGGGCTGTAGGGTGAGACCTTGGCCCCCAATATTAATCTTGGCTTATTTCACGCTTGGCCAAAACCGAAAAATTGGAAATACAGCACAATCTGTGTTTTTGAAAGCTATAGCATCTCTAAAGCAACAGATGTAAGGCATGAAGCTCTGCTTATACAACGTGCTTGATCTCATGGCTGCAAGCCACGCCAGGCCTTGCGGTCCGCTGTGTTCACTCACCGCCGCGGCTTGATATTGTGCACATTCCAGCCGGTGTGTTCAGGCCAGGTCAAGACCCCGGTCCGGCTAAGCGATCCAAAACTAGCACGCAAGGATAGAACTTTGCAAAAAAAACTGGGTTACATATGCCTGTGCATGGAAGGGAGAGGTGACCATGATTTCTCCTGGGCCCTCGCTTTTGCACTGGAGCTGCTTTTAGAGCTGGAGACATCAAGTATTGGAGAGCGTTGGACACCTCAGACTAATGCGTTTATCACTGAGGTTGTTGCTTGACGTTTTATGGGGGGGGGGGGGGGGGAGGGGAGCAACATTGGACCTGCCCCAACCCTAACTATGTTGAGCAGGCGCCGGTTATACGAAGTTCTACTCACGCTAGCACGTGCGACCGGTCACCGATTCAGCTCTTAAAAAATGTCCAGTCAGTTTCCATAGGCATCCACCAAGAAGCTAAGTGACTACCAAGGTATTTTGCAGGGGCAAAGAAATCTGCGCGACGCACACCGCCCTTTTACTAGGATGTCACTGAAATGGACTTTTTACAAAGTCGAAAGCCGTAGCCCCTGTCGCATGTCCCTCCAATCTCACCGGCCACCGTGACGGCTCCCCACCCCCCGCCGCGATGTCACCGGCTCGCTGTCGGCACGGGCCGGACCCGCTGCTTCCGCCGTCTAATCGGCGGGCGGCGGGAGGGGCGGGGCGGTGCCCGCGGCGACGCGCTGGCGGAAGTCTGCACACCGCAGCGGCGCGGGGGCGCCATGTCGCCGGTGTGGCGGCTGCTCCTTTCAGCGGGCGACGGCGCGTCACTAGGAGCCGGCCCCGTCCGATTGTGTCGGCCCGTCACTGTCGGCGGCCGCCGCCGCTCGGCCTGCCGAGCCCAATTTGTCGGGTGTGCGCCGCCGCCACCGGCCGAATGAGAGGCCCGCCGGTTGTTGACCGACCCGGCGTCGGCGGCCGGCGATAATCCGCCGCAGCGAGCCTTCCATCAGCGCGGCACAATCACCGTCGCGACATGTGACACCTCGCGCGGCCCCTCGCGTCGTGCCGCTCGCGCGGCAGGGCCGTCTCGGTGACGTCACTGTTTGCCGGACGCCTCTGTCCGACCGCTCGGTGGTGGCGTGGTATTATGCACCCGGCACCAACCGCAGCCCACGCAGCCCATGGTCTAGGCTCCAGCGGCGTGAGCTGCGCGACGTCAGAAATTTAGCCAAGCGCGACTTTTGTCTTGAAATTGTGAGGCACGTCGATACTTCTCATGACCTTGTCGCGCTGCGCTTTTCCACTTCCGGTGTCCATTCTCCGGTTTACGTGCTTACCTCTGCAAGCAGCATGACAATTGTCTCACTCGCTGTTTATTGTTCGCTCTCGTCTTCATGGTGACCAGCTTTCCCTTTTTCTTTCTCCATCTCTCACTCATTCACTCACTCACTCACTCACTCATTCTCTCTCTCTCACTCTCTGTCTGTCTGTCTGTCTGTCTGTCTGTCTGTCTGTCTGTCTGTCTGTCTGTCTGTCTGTCTGTCTGTCTGTCTGTCTGTCTGTCTGTCTGTCTGTCTGTCTGTCTGTCTGTCTGTCTGTCTGTCTGTCTGTCTGTCTGTCTGTCTCTCTCTCTCTCTCTCTCTCTCTCTCTCTCTCTCTCTCTCTCTCTCTCTCTCTCTCTCTCTCTCTCTCTCTCTCTCTCTCTCTCTCTCTCTCTCTCTCTCTCTCTTTCTCTTCATCTCTCTCTCCCTCTCTCTTCCTCTCTCTTTCTATCTCTCTACCTCTCTCCCTAAAATCTCCACCAGCGAAATTAATGATATTATTTAGAGTGTGCGGTCAAGTGCTAAAAGTTACCTCGAACGTTCCGTACCGAGCGTTCCGTTTGTGCGCATGAATACGGCTCCGTGCATTTTTCTTCAATAAACGGCGAACCCTCCTCAGCTATGACGTAGGTGTGCGTTACACCTCTTGACATCAGTCTCTCTCGAGACTTCTCTGCGCGCCTCCCGCCCGAGCCGCATCCTCCCGGCCCGTTGAGGGCGTGTTTGTCCCCACTCGCCGTCGACTCTACTCGCGCCGCCCAGCCACGTGCGTCCTGTCCAGCCGCCGCTGCCGACGACAGCTCGCCACAACACGGCTCGTAACGTCGGCGCCGACGCCCGTCGGGCCCGACGGACGGCGTCACCCGATATGGCTGTCGGGCCGGTGGTCACCGCCTCCGCGCGCCGGCCGGGGACACCGGCACAGCTCGCTCGGTCCAGAGTCGCTCCCGGCAGCGACACCACGCCAACACCAGGGCTCACGTCTCCATATATATTTACACTCGCGCAGCGGTCGACGCCTGGCGAGGATTGCGGACGGTAGCGACGGCGACAAGAATCGATTTCCGAATCGGCTTCGTCTCGGCAAGAGATGGCGCTGCCGGCGGCATCGTGCCGGCCACACAATCTCCTTGAGAAATCGAAAGCTATCGCGCCACGTCAGCCTGTGCTGCGCTAGGCCACCGTTTCCTGTCGAACACGCAAGCCTATAAAACTTGCGCCACGCACCGCTTCCGCTTCAAGCCAAGCGCATTGCTCACTCGCGGTTCGTAGAAGTCAGTTTACCACCAACTGCTAACGGCACCATAAACTCCGCAAACGGACACAAACAAACTCACAGGCAGAGCCGCCGCTCTTCGCGGGCAGTCAACAGCACATTAGCTCGAAAACAAACGCGTCGCCTACCGCTCACTACGGCGCGGCAACGGCCGCACAGCATGATCAGGAATGGCGGCTGGAAAAATATGGAATCTCTTACAAGGCGCTCCTCCCAACGCTCATAGGGCGTACGGCCTGAAGAGGTGGTGGTGCGGTCGTACTCGTGGCCGGCACAGGTCCACCGGTGACGTCGCAGGCACAGCCGGTGACGTCACAGGCGCACCCGGTGACGTCACAGGCGCAGCCGGCGGCGTCAGCGGCAGCTGCAGCGGCGGCAGCGGGTGGCCCGGTGGCGGCGGCGGCGGCACCACCCCGACACACTGCAGCTGGTACATGTACGACTGCATGACCTGGCTCAGGTAGTGCATCTGGCTCTCGCTCTGCTGGCGCTTCTCCTTCATGCGCCGGTTCTGGAACCAGACCTTGACGGTGGCCTCGGCCAGCTGGAGGCGCTGGCTCAGCTGGCGGCGCTGTGGCGTGCTCAGGTAGCGGTTGGCGGCGTACTCGCGCTCCAGGGAGGCCATCTGGCCGGCCGAGAACACGGTGCGGGCCGGCCGGCGCGGCGCCGGGCTGCCGCCGGCCGCGCTGCCGCCCGAGTCGCTCTGGCTGCCCGAGTCGTCGGCCGAGACGCGTCGACTCAGCTCGGCCGCGTCGGCCGCCGCCGGCGAGCCGGGCGGCGGCGACGGCGGCCCGCTGACGAGCGCGCACGAGCCTGGCGGGCACACAGCGTGACGTCACGTCTCGGTCCAGCCGGAAGGCAGACTTCGTACGGCAGCACTAAACAGCCGGCACCAGTTTGGCTTTGCAGCAGGGAAGGTGGAATAGGGGAAGGGAGAGAGCGAGGGAGGACAGATGGTGCAGCTGACCACCAAAGAAATGTGTGGCATTGACCGCATGAATATGAATACGTGGCATTGGCCTGAAGTACATGAGTTCACTTAGGCCTTGATCCCCGACGTAGCATGGCTCATCCCCGTTGGTTTATGCCATCAAACATCTCATTTATTTCCATGTGAGGCACGGCACAACCGACTGCACTTTGCGTTCACAGCGAGTGGGCCGTAAAACATGAGGAAATGATTTGAAAGACACTGGAAAGCAAACCAAGATATCTTTCCTTGAATGGATGGCCATGACGACGTTTATCCAAATTCTTCATGCCTCTCGGAAAATAAAACGTACATGCTTCAGGCTTCCCGTAATCATCGTATCGCCCAGTCCTCAAGGTCAAGTTACGTTATTTATTTCACCTAAATGGGGACATGTACATATAGGCCCCTGGGGCGGGTTCCGGCCACTGCAGCATCCTGCGGATGACGAGGGCCAAAGCTCAGATCCCGGAAACCACACTCATCTCTGCCCAAATGCGTTTCCAATACATTTCTTTCTGCGCATAGTAACGTGCCTTGTATAAAGATACGACCCTGCGGCTCAATCGATGTGAACGGAAAATGTGGTTTGCTGCGCGATGTTGCACATGAAAACGAGCAGGTTGTGGAAGTGGCGTTCTTAAGCTATCACTGGCAAGTCCATGAATGGCCATACGCTCGCCTTCGAAGTAGCGCACACCCATGACGCAATGATTTTAACCGTTTTCAAACGAAACTGCTTTTATCATCAGCGTGCTTTTGCTCACAGAGACAACTGCATACCTGATCGCTGCACAAAATCGCTTCTTGCCACACAGTAGCATGCGTAGTAAGGACAACTGCTCTGAGCGGACGTCACATGGTGTTCTTTCATCACGACCGAGCCAAACAAAGACGCGAGAGACGCACGCGTCTTCGCCGCATGCAGGACACGCAACTCACCTTCAGAGTTCATGCTGTCGCACATGGCCTCCATAGACTGCAGCGAGTTCTTGTTGCCGAACATGAGTGCGGTGAAGTCGCGCCAGCTTCCGTCGTGCCCCTCCTCACGTAATCAACTCCCCGACTGATAATGAGCCAATGAACGCTGTCCGAGGACCCACGGCCCCGCTCGCCCGGACCGGTCCCAGCAGCCAATCAGCGGCAGGCTCGCAGAGCCGCTGGACCAATCAGCGGACGGCAAATGGACGGGCGCGGGATGGAGAGCGAGGGATTATGATTTAGTGATTGCCCAACGTTTTCGCGCCTTCCCTGAACTACCTATCCGTGACGCAACTTTGCTTAGGTGGGTGGGGTAAGGAAAGGGAAATGCGGCTTAGCTTCGATGGGGATTCCCTTCATGTTGGTTGTAAAAACCAGGCATTCTGATTATGAACTGAAAGGTATAATACAATATTGTTGTAATGACCACCCGCCATACCATTCCTTTGTTCATTTCCACAACCGCTTCTTGCACCCTACATTGTTACCAGCTCTCATGGATGCGCGGGGTGCGCTGAATGAAGTTCATATACGGTGTCACTGAGCGTGTAGTAGTCTTCAATGATGTTATGCAGATTCATGATCACTTTGCTCTGGAACGCCAATGCCAGCAAAAAACCAAAAAACAAAAAACAAATAAAAAACGGAACAATATTTTCGCGGAAAAGCCATGGCATGAAAGCTGGCTAAGCGTGGGGGATGGGTATGGCAAAATGCCCATGGGTCCTCACTAGGTATGTACGCCTTTTGTGTTGGACTCGGACTGAATACCAGGTGTCTTTGGATAGAAAGGGTGCACAAACCGACTCCGTAATAACTCATGCATCCCAGACGACATATTTGTATTCAGTTCGTTCATCAGTAAGATGAGTGAGATCGTGCATCGTGTAGGTCCTGGCTCCAGCACAGAACTCCGCATCGTATTTCTTCAACGCGTTTTGTTTGTTCAGATGTATGTCTGTGGCATGTGCCTTGATTCCAAGCGAGATTGTGGTAAAAATCTGCATATCTGGATCCTTTTTTACGTTCAGTCCAGACCACTCATGCGATACCCGCCTGGATACTGAAAGCGGCTCGAAAATTCTGTACAATCGCGTGATGGCGGAGCTCACATTAAGGATTCCAGGACCAGAACCAAGCTCAGGATGATACCTGCTTTGGATCCCGGAACCAGAGCCTCACAACCACGGCATGCCTAACTCAAACCCAGGCCCTGATACCGCTCAGCTGCTGCAGCCGTTCGCTCCCGTGTTCTGATAGTATTTAAAGGCATGTTCGACATTAATAAAAAATATTATATTTTCTAAGAGATAAAGGTGGGAGAGAGTTGAGTGAGTTGCATCACGTCCAGGCAGTATCAGGGTTAATTATTCCAAATCTATGCGACCGATGGCTGTCTTGTGCCCCTCAGCTGATGCAACGCAGCTCCCTCTACCTTTCAGTGAACTTCCGGCCCTATGCGGGGGCGCGTCTTGCGGTGAGCACACCAAATCTTTGTGGTCCGTCTTTGGCCCTCTTAAACACTACTCCTGGTCAACTCGGGGGTACTTGCCGACGCAGGACTCCTGTTTGGCGCTGCGGTCCCTTGGCCAACAGTACCCTGTTTGGCGCTGCGGTCCCTTGGCCAACACAGGAGCTGCCTATGGTGTCAGTGACCCCCCGCCCGTTGCAAATCACGAGCCCCGGCCTTGCTCCTGCTTGGGAAATGGGGCCCAGCGTTCAGGACTCAGGGCTCCAGGGTCCCCAGGGCTCAAACCCACACGGATACGACTGTTTGGCCCCTTAGAGGCGCTTTATAATAGTGACAAAAGGCCTTAATAGCAGGGCCTTTATAGCAGAGCCTTAATAAAAGGTCCCTGATAGAGGTCCTCTCACTGACATTTCAGGTCACGGCACTACGGATGACGGGCCGGCCCGGATCCCATCGGGCCCTTTGTCTTTGGCTCCATGCGGCTCCTCGGATCCCTCTCCAGGCCCCTCCAACACGGCGCCTGGCAAATCAGGGCTGGTTCCCGATACATGATCCCGTATCAGGCACTGCGGTCCCTGACAGATACCCTTATTTTTTAGGGACTCCGACCAATACAAAGCCCGGCCTTGCTCGTGCTTGGGGAACTGACCCCCATGGCTCAGCCCGACTGTTCGGTATTGGCGGCCCCTGGCCGAAATAGAGGCTCGCACTATCCCACGGGTCCCCAACTCTTGTCATACGATACCGAGTTATGCTATTCGCCTACGACAGATGTAAGTACGCAACTTGTTTACGAAGAGCGTGTACCGTCGTCCTGCGTACAACAGCGTATCAAATCACCTATCCTGAAGGAAGGGCAAATGAGTGTCCAGTGGACCGCTTCATGCCTAAGACAGGTCAAAAAGTCGATTTCCTACTGTGGTGCGGTGTAAAACAAGCTGATTCGGAAATCCGTACTTCAATAGACGTCCCATCCGTATAATGCACCAATAAATCGTGCCGGTGATCCATAAACGTGCAGCAGAGCAGTGAAGGGTGAAGCAGGGCACATACAAGTAATATCTCCCTCTTTTATGACTTTTGTCACATTGTATTGGATACGTAGCCTTCGAAGTTTCAGAATTTGTTTCTGCCTAAAATGCTGCGAACAAACTTTACCTCTTGTAAAGCAGTCGGCGAAATCCTGCTGATGACAGCTTTGGCGCATTACGGGCCATGGATCCGAGTTCCAAATTCTGACCAGTCTGTGCCCGGGCCGCATCTTATCACGTAAACTGTGGAGGCATATGCCTACACAATGGCCCAAAATGACTACCCGCCCGTGCAGTTTCGCCTCCCCACGGTAAACAATGTTGAAACGGACGAACATAGAGCTGGGTAGTTGAGTGGTCTTGTTGGACAAGTAGCCCACGTATGCATCTAGTCGGCGACAAGCCATTCAAATCAATTTTCATATTTCTGCAGCGGAACATTGTACATGAAAAATAACTTTGGGGACACTAACAGTAAACATGCGCCTTCGGCATAGCAAAACTGCGCGCGTTCCTCGACATTGTGGCTGGGTGCTGGCGTGACCTAACAGATACGAATGCAGAAATCCTAGATACACAACAGGATGATTCTTTTCTTGCCGGAGGCGTAATGACCGAGTGGTTGGCGCCTTTGACTCCCACGTAAGGGGCGAGCGTTCTAACCCCGGCTGTGCCATGACACCTGGGTGCTATGCGTTTGCTGCAGTCGCTGGCGCTACATACAAGGGTCCGCAGGCGCGTGGGTTACGTTTGCCTTTTTTGGCAGCTCGCATTACACAGGCAAGAAAAGCTGCGTTTTCCCATGAGCTTTTATCTTGAATGCAAAATAATACGCGTGCCAGCCGCGCAATAGATGTAAGATATATCGGTTTTTAATCTGTGGAACTCATATTGTTTAGGCATCCATCGAGTCACATTCTTGTGTTAGAATTCAATCGATTTTTGTACTCCTTCAATATACTTCAAACGTGCAGCACAAGATTTGATCATTTCCACTCAAAACGTTTTGCGTCTTCTCAGGACCTGGCCGTTTGTTTTACTTCGAGAGAGCACACCACGTTACAAGTTCACGAATTTAAATAGCTTCGCCGCTTTCTGCTTCTACCGCTAATGTTTCAAAATCCGCATCACGATGTCACTGGAGTGACATTACGATTTAGGCTTTTGTGGACATGTTATTGCTTTTGCGTTTTACCATTCATGGTGGGGTTCGATTCCGCGCGGTGCTCGCCCTTTCGGCCAGGGTGATAGACAGGCGTTGCCGTATGGTGTCAATAGTAGGGACGGTTGCAGAGGGGGGGGGGGGGGGGACAGAGGGGGCAGTTAGTCGCCTCTCTCTCCCTCCGGTCCGCCGGCCGGAGACAAGATTATGCTTTCCCTTTTGAAACGCGTGGGAGACCGCTTCTACCCGAACTGAAGGCACTGCCGCTCCTCGTAGATTACCAAAAATTCAGACCAAGGAGGCTCGCGTAACTGGAACCGAGAAGTAAATCGGGCCTTTCCTACATCAAGGGACTTCTTTTCTGGATCGTAATTCATAAGGCTACAATTATGAATGACGTCGCCATTCTCAACATCAGGCATCCTTCCTGACTCGGAAGCCTCCCGTTATGAGATGTGGTAGGCCCTTGACCGCTGGCTCCTATTCTGGGTTAGAGGACGCCATCTACATTCGGCAGGCTGCATCTCTGGAACAGGCGGCCCCTCTCATGAATCAAAAGCCGCGGTGCCGGGTCAGGACGCCCCCGTTTTTTGGATAGCGAGGCCTTCTTTCTAGATGAGAGGCCTCTTCGTGAAGCGGAAGCATCTTGTCCCCCCCCCCCCTTTGCACCAGGACGCTTTCTTCTGGAAAAGGCGGCCATGTCTTTTTATAGTAAGACAATTGGCTGGATGATCAGGCTACATTCTGGATTCTTAGGTGTCAAATGTTACTTACTTGGATATGAAACATGTAATAACTTGATTGGGGTCACATGCAACGATGCCTCTTCCCCTCCATTACGACACCGTCCAGGAGGCAACCTTCCCCTCCATTGCGACACCGTCCAGGAGGCAACCTTCCCCTCCATTACGACACCGTCCAGGAGGCAACCTTCCCCTCCATTACGACACCGTCCAGGAGGCAACCTTCCCCTCCATTACGACACCGTCCAGGAGGCAACCTTCCCCTCCATTACGACACCGTCCAGGAGGCAACCTTCCCCTCCATTACGACACCGTCCAGGACGCAACCTTCCCCTCCATTACGACACCGTCCAGGAGGCAACCTTCCCCTCCATTACGACACCGTCCAGGAGGCAACCTTCCCCTCCATTACGACACCGTCCAGGAGGCAACCCTGTGAGGATGTCACGTTTTTTCAGGACGTCCCGGGAAAACGCTGCTTCCCAATTCAGAATCCATGGCACTGGCCCTGCTTAGTAGCGTTGTAAAGCCCTTGTGACACAACTATTCACTGTGAGGTCGGCGATGTACAGTTGCATTGCACGCGAGTTGTAACTGCGCGCAAGTTGATTACTTTCTGGAAAAAGATGGGCGTGCGCCACGTTCATACACAACTACGTCTAAGCCTCCGTGATCGGCAGAGGATAATTACCCGAGTAAAAAATAAGGACCTGAAAATGAGGTGGCCGAAATCCGGGGATATTTTGTGACTGTGAGCACCACGTTACCGAGCGTAAAGCGTGGCCCCTCCCGTGACAAGATCCTGGAACCGCCCCTGGGGTACGCCTTAGCAACTATGGAGCGTTTTTCTGTCGCTCGCACTGTAGCTTTGGCCATCCACATGGCTCCACCAGTGACCTGCACAGAACGAGGCCCATTGCAACGATAAGCTGGAATTTCAGTCATCCACAATGGTCTGAATGGAATCCGAAGTGTTTGCGCCTCATTTCACTGGTACATTACGATAACTTTAGGGCTGTCCGGGGCAAATTATTTAAGAACGCTGGGTAGTCTGTTGGTATGCTGTGCGGTACAAAAGAGTAGAAAATATTAGATGGTGCACTACCAGGAAAAAATTGTAGGTGTGCATCTAGCATCTCAACCGTGGCATCAACTCATTTCCCCAATGTATTATGTGAATTACGAGCGGACAACGCCCTCGATCTTTAACCCCGATGCGGTCACCCGGATCGCTTCCAGGTTAAAGTTCTTTAAGTGTACCTTAAGCAAGCCCTCCCCGCTTAAACAAAACAAGGTTCTTACGCTTAACATGCCATGTCTGGTTCATATATTCATGCTCCGCTGCTACAATAGCAAAGTAATACGACAACGTATGAACCTGCTGAATAATACCGCGAGGGGAACAAGCTCGCAATCAAGTTATCACAACGTACAAAAGGCGCCCCTCACACCGATCTCCGCTACAGCGCACCACGCAACTGTAGTAGCCAAACTACCCTGACGCTCTCACACGCGCATCAGCGGCTACTTCAAGCCACCTGGCGCGCCCAAAAGAAACCAGAGATTCCTCGCCTCCACCGCTTGTTGACGCACGATTCGCTTTTTGTCGTCGAGGCAGGCTGCCAGTTCGCGCAGCACCTGCGGCTTGAGCGGCAGCAATACGTGCGGTTTGAGCCGGGCCAGCGCGCCCAGGCAGCGCAGCGCCCCGGCGCGCGTCTCCAGCCGCGGCGAGCGCGCCCCCGCCTCCAGCAGGCGCGGCACCAAGGTGTGCACGTGCGGCTCGAGCGCAGCCGGCGAGTCGGCAGCGGCGCGGCCCAGCACCTGCAGGCAGGTGGCGCCCAGCGGCGCATCGTCGGCTAGCTCAGCCAGCGCCGATACCAGCAGCGGCAGCAGCTGAGCCAGCTGCGCCGACACCACCACAGCCGGCAGCTGCGCCAGCTGGTGGCCCAGCGCGCGCAGGTGGCGCCGCCGCGCGGCCGACACGCCCTCGCGGAAGCCGCGCGCCAGGCGCTCGCAGGTGACGGTGAAGAGCCATTGGCGGTGCAGCAGACGGACCACGCAGTGGTTCTCGGAGGTCAGCAGCTCGTCCTCGGCCAGCAGGTCGTCAAAGGCGTCGGCGGCGGCGTCGGCGGCCGACTCCTCAGAGAGCCAGTCCACCAGACGGTCCACGAAGTAGGCCGCCTGGCCGTGGCCGCGCAGCACGAGACCCTTGGCGATGGCGCCCCACAGCGACACCAGCGGCCGGCGCGCGCCGGCGTCCGGCGGCTCACAGTTCTCGAACAGGAACTCCAGCTGGTTCGTGAGAGTCTTGAGAAGATGGTCCGTCTCGGTGGGCGCCTGCTTGTTCACGATGACGGCAAGGGTCTTGGCGGCGCGCGCCGCCGTCAGCGCGTGCGGCTTCCTCAGCGCCAGCTTGGTCAGCATCACGGCCAAGATGTCCTGCTGCGGCACGGCGACGGAGCGGCGCGCGGCCGCCAGCGCGGCCGCCAGCAGCGCCGCCAGCTGCGTGTGCTGCCAGGGCGCCTGGTGCATCAGCGGCTGCAGGCTCTGCCAGCGCTCGGCCAGCGCACCCAGCAGCGGCTGGCCGTCGCCCTGCAGGAAGAGGCTGACGGCCGCGTGCAGCAGCCGCTCCTGCTGCAGCGCGTCCAGCCGGCGAACAAGGGCGGCCAGCAACGCGCCGCCGGCCGTCACCGCCGCCGGCTGGTGGAGCACCACCTCGCTGGCCGCGTCCGGTGCCGGCCGCAGCGGGTCGAACACCACCTCACGCGCCGCCGCGCCGAACAGCTCCAGCACCTTCTCGGGCAGGCGGAGCTCAGTCAGCAGGTAGTCGGCGACGTCCGGCTGACCAGCAGCGCGCGCTACCACCTCCTGTACGGCGGCCAGCGTGCGCACGGTGGCCGCGACGTCCGCGCGACTGACGCGCACCAGCCGCACCAGCAGCAGCGGCACGGCCGCGCGCACAGCATCCACCTCCGCCACGCCGGCCGCCACCGCCGCCAGACGGCGCTCTGTCAGCGCCGCAGGCTCGGCCCCGTCGTCGCCGTTCAGCCGCTCCAACAGCGGGCGCACGAACTCCTGCACGACGGCGGCTGGGTGGTGGGCGGCGACGGCACCGACGCAGCCGAGCGCCGCCGCGCGCACGGCCGCGTCATCGGCCGTACTGAGCGTGGCCAGGTGCCCCGCCAGCGGCGGCGCCTCCGCCTCACCCACCAGCCACGGGCAGGCCTGGACGGCGGCCAGCGCGGCGGCCTGCAGCGGCGGCGGGCCGGCCGCCAGCTCGGCCAGCAGCACGGTGGCCAGCCGCGGCCGCAGCGGCCGCACGGGCGCCGACTGCTCGGCGGCGCCGTCGGCCAGCAGCACGGCCAGCGCCCGCAGCGTCTCGAGTCGCTCGGTCGCCGACTCGCCGCCCGCCTCCAGCTGTCGCAGCAGCGCCGGCACTGCTTCGCCCAGTACGGCGTCCCGGTCGCCGGTGCAGAGGGCGGCCAGCAGCGGGCCGACGGCGGCCAGCAGTCGGTCGCCCCCGCGCTGCGCTGCGTGGTGCAGGCACTCGGCCACCAGCGGCCGCGTCCACTGCTCCAGCTGGGCCGGCACCGCGGCCGAGACGGCGGCCACCAGGCGGAGCGCCCCCGCCTGTACCTCCTGCTGACGCGCCGCCAGCGCCTCGCGCGCCAGCGCCAGCCGCAGCGGCACCAGGTGCGGCGTCAGCTCGGCGCCTGTGTAGGTGCGGCAGCAGAGCACCAGCAGGTCCGCCGCGTCCAGCTTGGCCTGCGTCAGATCCGAGTTAAGCTTCTCCAGCGCCAGCGGCACGCAGAACTCGGCGAACTGGCCACTGCACGCCATCACGTCGGCCAGCGCGTCGGCCAGCATCTGGCGCGTCACGCCGTGCGCGCTCCCCTCTGGCGGCGTGAAGTCCACCGGAAAGTAGCAGGCCAGCATCTCGAACAGCTCTTCGGCCAGCGGCTCGAGGGGCACGGCCGCTACCAACAGGCGCACGGCGGCGAACACGGTCAGCAAGTTGCGTGGGTCCTTCTCGCCCTCCATTGACTGCACGCAGCCCAGCACCAGGTCGGCGCCCAACACGCGCACGTCGTCCGCGCGCGCCTCCAGCACGTGGCGCAGCGCGGCGAACACGCAGCGCCGCTCGGCCAGCACCAGGCTCTGGGCGTGCACCTCCTTGTAGAGGCTCTGCACGAGCCGGCAGAGCGGTTCGGCCGGCAGGTGGCGCAGGCGCACCACGGCGCCGACGCCGGCCAGCGCCGCCGGCACCACGCTAAAATGGTCGCGCACCCGGTCGCAGAAGAAGGCAGCGATGAAGGTACACTCCTGCTCGTTGAGCCGGTCGGCCGGCAGACGGCGCAGCACGTCGGCCAGCAGCTGCACGCCGCCGGCACGAGTGGCCGGCTCAACGGCCACCAGGCGCGGCTCCAGCGCCTCCACCACAGCCAGCACTGTGAGCCGGCCGGCGACGATGCCGTCGACCGTCGTCTCGACACCGTCCGCCGCCTCCAGGGAGGTCAGCAGCGCGCAGTCGGCCGGCTTGGCGTCGGCCGACAACGCGCCGCCGCCCACCCCCGCGTCGCCACCTGCCTCCGAGCTCACGCTGTCTGCCATTCCACAGCTGGATTTGCTCACTGTGCTGTATTGCTGTTTTGCACCAGGGCCTGGAAGTAGGATATGTGGTCACATTGTGCCAGCCAAACTACAGGAGCCATCATTCAACAGTAAATGTAACATGAATCTCAGCTGGTTATGAAAATATATTCTAACAGTGACAACTGCCAGAAGCATCACGATCTAGGATGCACTTCCCTTTGCTTTAATCAGCAATGGTTGACTTGGCCAAATGGATGACACATCCTAATGCTGGTCATAAGACTGAAAGTAATTTTGTCAGAAATTGGTCAGGAAAATGACTACCCTCCAAATATTTTGACTCTGCAATGCCACTGATATCAATGGGATACTTATCTTGTCATTGTTTCCAGGCATGGGAAGGTCAAGCTATGAAGTTAGATGGAAAAAGCTTCTCACACAACTTGTCTTTCCCACCAATAATTAGCTGATTACCCTTAGCTTACATTGCACCTAAATAAGTGGTTTGTGATGCTTTATTGCAAGATCTGGACAAGTGGTGTAGACCTTTTGCTGTTCAAAGGATGGACTAGGCATTTAAAACACCATTTTAGTGGGAGGTTGTGGACCAGCCACATGTAGCATCACCTAGGATTTGGAATTTTGGAGTGCAGTTATCACAGACCTATATGAAAAAGATAGATGACAAACATGTCAAATTCTAGATCTAAAGACACATACATAAATCCCTCTACAATTTTGCTATTAATGTTGCACATAGCAATGCACCTTCAAGACAGTCAGAAAAACACTAATCAAATAATTAACAACCACTGGACACTAGCATAACATGCAGAAGGCACTGCACAATAAATCAGGTCATTCTATTATTATCATACATATGACTTAAGCCCAGACTGTAAAAATGTTATACCAGACATGTCCAGCATGTCCATGATGTTCCAGCAGCAAATTTAGCACATGCATGCAGTAAACTGAAGAGCCTCACTTAGGTGTCCTGTTGCTGCCAATTCCAGGAAATGGATGATCAATGGTTTAAGAAATCATGATGTTGCTTAGCTATTCCTTTCACGATCCAAAAATGAAAATGCTGCACAACTTGGTCCGGTGAGTTTAATATAGGTTCACCCCAGGTTTTCCCACTAAGTAAGCATTCTGCACAATTACAGGATTCAGTGCAAGCCATACTGCAAAAAGCTTAAAGCTCAATTGTACAGCTGCCTGATTAATCACTTGAGGTTTCTTTGTATTTATTAGTCGTCAATGGTTCTCTGAAATCCTTAGCAGGCTTGGTCCGCCAATGAACGCCTAACCAAGCAGAACTTAAATCAACGATTTCCAGACCATGTAAAAAGCCCCAGCGGTAAAAAAACAAACAAACTGCAGTAAGGTTTCTCCTAAGACTTTTACGTAACATGCACCACCTGCGCCCCGAACCACGAATAAAACCCACCTATACAACAACAAACGACCCTCTCCAAACGCCTTGATCCCGACAGAGTACACAGAACACCGCAAAATGTCGAGCAAACTGCATTTGTCACCATAGCGCCATATTGTACACAATTTTGATGGACTTTTTGTTTCCGCTGAAATATTTAGCAATTTGACGGTGCATATTTGACATAAGGCATGGTTTAGTGTCTGATGCAGTTTGAACCAGGTTTTAATGTTTTTGAAATTCAGAATTTTGCCATTTTTGTCTTGAATTTTGCTTTATTACCGGAATATTGGCCGAAATATTACATTTTCCTCCTACACGTGTAACACTTGCGCATCATATGGTAGCAGCAAATGGCGCCAGTTTCTGCGACCTGCAGACATTTTCTTTTGTCCTACCGGCGTCCCCGCGCGTATTGGACGGCGCGACTTGTGACACAAACATAAGGTGTCGGTGGCAACTGGGTTCCGGTTATTTACATGCCATATTTTCATTGAAATTTACCTTGCAGACATATTTTGGTTCTGGGTGCAAGGTGGCATCAAACGTCAGTGCTAGTGCAGAACAGGGCAAGGTGACATTTAAAGTACTGCTTTTTACAGTTTCAAAAGTGAAAGATGGATTTCCTCGGCTTAGGTTTCGGAGATGTGAAGCGCATGAACAAAAGACAGGTAAGAAAGATTACGAGAGGTGTTTTCAGCTGCTATTTGTGCATAAACCTCTTAACATATGGGGCCTTGACTGTTGGATACTTTGGTGCCAGTCTTCAAAACGTGGCAGATCTCAATGACATGTTTTGATTTTATTGTCTCTCATTGATTCAGTTGGCTGCTTTCTTCTGAACTACAGGACTGTTGTCTTTATCACTGCCATGTTATTCTGTCCACCCCCGGATGCAGCTGCTTGTGCAACCATAAAGAAAGCCAGAGATCTACCAAAGTTGCTCGGGCACACAATTTGTACACCATTTGTTGTGTTTAAGGTAGAACATATAAATAATCTTAAAACAGGTAGATTCATGCTCCTGCCTTCAAATTTTAGTAGTTACGATAGCAAGCTCCCGAGTGCCACACACACCCCACCACCTTGACTTTCCAGCGCCGTTTCTGCATTGCTGTTGTGTAATTACAATATTTCTGCGTATCAAGAACCATAAAGAATGCACTGGACCAAGGTAACAATAATGCAATGAAAATTATTGTCGTGTGTAGGCATGTTTATGAAACGGACGGGCCAGAATAGTCCAGAACATAGCGTAAACTAAACTAGCCTAGCCTAACCCAACCTAACCTAACCTAACCTAACCTAACCTAACCTAACCTAACCTAACCTAACCTAACCTAACCTAACCTAATCTAACCTAACCTAACCTAACCTAACCTAACCTAGCCTAGGCTAGGCTAGGCTAGGCTAGGCTAGGCTAGCCTAACCTAACCTAACCTAACCTAACCTAACCTAACCTAACCTAACCTAACCTAACCTAACCTAACCTAACCTAACCCCCACCCTGTCCCCTTCAACCCAGTGTGCTATTGGCATCCATGTCCCATGCCATATATATGTACCATATTAAGAAGTTTTCTTGAGCCGCCATGTTCTCATTTTGCCTTTCATTCCCGCACAAAAACGTCATATTTTCCCACCATGTTGACCAATCTACAAACAATATGGAAGACTGCTTGGATACACAAGGAACACATTTTGTCAAATTCTTGTTACCTTGGCCTCATACATTTTTATGGTTCTTGATGGCAGTAATATTGTGATCACACAGTAATGTTGCGATCACATGTAGAAATGGCGCCGGGGTCATGGTTGCTCTGTGTTTGCGCTCGGATGATCGCTATTGTTGTTATTTAAGTTCCAAGGTAAGAGCTTAGATGACCTGTTTTACAATTAATTACAGTATGTTCTGCCTTAAAAACAACAATTGATGTACAATGCTCTTTCTTAACATGAGGTAGCAATTTATACCCTGACCCACAATTTTGTGCCAGTGGTTGCCCACACCCTTTACAGTTACTGTGGCTGGTTGAGCTGTTCAGCACAAGCAGCAAAAAACAATACAACCACTTGCCAGATGGGCCATTACCAGCTTGAGAGCCTCAAGACTGTGATATTACTCATATTGCAAAATGCTTGGTGCCTTTTTGAGTGTTTTAGATTTGGTAATTAAAAAAAACATTGCAAAACATTAAAAGGTAAATGCAGTGTGGTTCTGAACAATCTCAAGTGAGCACTAGAGATAACTGGTATGCAGTAAAGACAAATTAGATTGTTTGGAAAACTTTGTAGATTACCCCCATGGTCATCAAGTGACCAGCCTCCTTTCCAGGCAGAATAGTTGGCTGCCTCATCTGGGGCTGGATCAGACCTGTCCCAAACCCATTGTTGACTGGCTGTCACCTTTTGCTAACTGGCTATGATGCCAGTCTGTCAATGTTGGCAGATGAGGTGTCTGGTTGTGACAAGGTTGGGGGCAGTCATATAATTTGGGCAGCTTTTTACTCTGGAGCAGGAATTCCCTACAATGAGCAATTCATGATTCCTCTGGTACATCGTCCTGTAGTGCCACCAAGATTATTTAAAATGGATGATAGAGTATGTTTCAGGGTGGCAGGACCTGGCCAAAACTGCCCTGAATGAGGACCTTGCTGCCCCATTTGGGAAAAGATTCATACTGCTCTAATCATCTTTGTGATGTCCAAGTTATGTTTTGCAGGTTGGTAAATTTACAGGTAGCTTACACTTACACATTTGTACCATGCACATGGTTTTCTGATGTGAGCATAACTGAGGTAAGGATGCAATAAGGTGTACTGGCTGTTGAAGGCCAGCTACAGTGGACCTGTAAGGATGGCAACATAGTCCCCACCAAAATGGCTCAGATTTTTGTTAACAGAACAGTGCTGTGATGATTTGCTTTCTACAGCACATGCAGAACTGAAAGGCTGCTGCATTCACACCATTTGAAAAACATGTTGGTCAATATTTGATCTGAGCCATATGAATAGATGGATTTTTGGAATCAGAGCTCATGGTAAACAGGGTTTGTTGTGTGAGTCCCTGACCCATACCATCTCATTGCACAATACCATGTCAGGACTAAAATTTGGTGGTTATTCACAAAAAGTTTGATGTGCTGCAATGGTTGGCATGGTCCATCCTGCCTTCTAATGTCACCTGACCTAAAGCATGACTGCTGCCATCAGCCAGAGGCCATATCTGTCAGGGGCAAATAGCCAGTGCATAGTGACTTGACACCCTGCTGTGGTTGGGTGGATCAGAAAGCATGACTGTTGAACCAACTGAGCTATGAGAGGGACAAACTTGCTGATACACAGACACTGTTGCTTTGGTTCATGTTACCATAATTCTATAGCCAAAGTAATGATGTAATGCTGGCAAAATTGTTGATATTGTACTCTCATTTGGCATGTCAAGCAAAAGCCCTGCATATCTAGTGCAGTTCCAAGCAGCTCCAAGGGCAAACAGTTGGCAAAAATTGACATTGGTGCCTCAGGAAGAAATTATGACCTCTGTATGTAACAGATGCAGTTTATGGATCCGTATGTCTCCGTTCACAAGGTTCATCATATTGTGTAGCACATACGCCATTGTCACCTCTCACTGGCGGTATTCATTTCAGCTCTACTACCAGGTGCTGAACTTTGGCATGATCGTCAGCTCAGCTCTGATGATCTGGAAGGGCCTCATGGTTGTGACAGGAAGTGAAAGCCCCATTGTCGTCGTGCTCAGGTAAACATATGTACTGGGACATGCCAGTGGGCCAGTGTATTTTTGTATTTTTGTCATCAAATGCAGTGATGTACGCACTGTTCCCACCCTTTATAAGTGGGTCTGTAAATATCTTTTTTGAAATTTGTTCGAAATCAAGTAGTGTGGTTCCCAAAACAATGAAAGAAGCACAAGTGGAAAGAAGGAAAAGTTGTAATTGAGTCTGTTTTATGGCTAAATGGCACAGTACTTAAAACATGCCTTGTCGAGATTCATGCTGGATTCGGGGTTGCAGCGATTCCAAGTCGGTCTAGGCTCTCTTCGCTAGGAACCGAATGTGGTTCTCTGCGCGGGAGTGATGCGCCTTCCCACAGGCGTCGCCGGTATCGCCGGTGTCCGGCGTCGCGTTTTCCGTCAGACGTTCATCGTGGATCGTACGGGGGCTTGGCGCTGGCGGCGAGTGACTCCTGATTTGTCGACGCTTTATGACCGAATTGGGTTGCGCATGGCGAGACAGCCTAGGTCTGAAGCCAAAACTCTGACAGCGCAGGGCTTTTTTTAGTTCTCGGGATTAGAGATGCAAATTTCTGACATTACAGCACCGATAGGCAGCCCCGAATCCGTAACGGCGTTACGGGAGGGTCAACGGGTTTAATAATGCCGCTATCAGAAAACGTTCGCCTGCCTTGACGATGCCGTTGGTGCCAATGATAACGAATGTTGAGAATTCCACAAATTTTCCTTGTAGCGGAGTACAAATTTTCTATGGTGGAGTACAAAATTATCCAAGTGCTGCGGATCATTGCAGCTTTAATTAGGTTGTCTCCGAGAGATAATAATACAATGGTTGGCACTCAACAAAAGCGCCACTTTTCATGTACAGCAATTCATGTAAAAGCACTTAAAATGAAAGGAAACATTAGCATTAAACATGACACACTGGAACAACACAGTCTCATACTCTACTATGAAACACATGTGCGTATACATTGGTTTGCAAGTTATGAAAGACTCTGTGTATACACCCTCCAAAGCGGAGGGTAATTACGTATCGGGCTTATGCGCTCTCCAAAATAGAGGGTTTCTACACACCGGGCTTATACACCCTCCAAAATGAAGGGTGGGTACGATACGCGCAGCCGGACAAAAATGACACAAAAAATGCATATGAACATGCCACAGACGGCCACCTACTCATGCTCCACCACGATCACGCTACTCACGCTCCACCACGGTCACGCCTCTCACGCTTTACCAGCTAACTGGTTCTAAAATCAGCTTAACATTCATGCCCTCCACCTTCCTACTCCCGGCCAACACACGAGGCCCTGCACGTCCCACCCGAACAATAGAGACAGGCAGCGCTCTTAACCGATTTACCGGGCCAGCGCAAGTACAATGCCTGACAGACCCGTGCAGGCCGGCCAAAAGGGTCGGAGTCAGTCACTCTCAGACTCAGGCGGATAATGCAAGGTATTAATGGATTTAGATGCACTTTAACCGATATCATTGCGAAATATAGTAATTTATGTTGCAATAAATTGATTTTTTTGTCCTAATAAACCCTTCCCGTTAATTCGCCGGGCAAAAGTTGTGGGCTCATGTTACTCTGGTGTCCTGGTGTTTTTGCCGAAGTGAGATGGCTGTCTCCGAACAGTTTTTTTTTTGGCTATTTATAGCAACATTTTTCGACTTAAAATGGTATCTTTGTAAAGCCTGAATTACCAGCTTTAATTTTACGCCCTTAAAAAACAAATTTAACTTGGTTTAGATTCAAAGCTGTCGTAACATTTTTTGTGCTCCGGATACCAGGAAGTGGCCAAAAATCCAACCACATGGCGGTTCTGGATGAGTTCAAATAAGTCCGGCTTCATAATCGTGATGCCCATCTCCATACAGCTTCCCTCCAAATGTTTACAAATCTGTTCAAGGCATGAGCGCGAGCAGAATATTTATGCTTTTGACAAATGAGTCACGAGGAGGCAAATCATTAAAACCAATTGGAGAGTTCTGCTATGTGCAACCTTTAGCATGGGCTGGGAGGCGGGCGCAGGCCGCTGAATAGTTGAGACGTTTCCGACGCTGAATTGCGATGGAGTCTCTTATTTGCATTGCCATAACGCAGTGGTGGCGCGTGGTAGGCGGCCGTCTGCGGTAGGTGATTGGGCGTGCGGTTTTCTATGAATGTTCGTTGCATCCTTGACAATTAATGCGGTTCGTCGTCAATGGTAGGTTAAGTCATGTTCAAGTTTGAGTGGGTCTGCGTAGGGCATAGGAAGTGAGAGCTTTGTTAATCTACAGACCGGTGCGATTCTGGTACTCGTTTCTCATTTCCCGTTATTGTCTAAAGGCGATTCCATTCAACATTCCCACGCTTTATTTTTCACATTTCCATACATGGTTTATCATACACCTAGATGGCAGCACAGGCTGCTTGCTATTGGGCACCTTAGTCTGGTGGGTGCAAGATTTGTGCTCTTACAGTTATCAATACGTGGCTTCTGGTGAAAGTAGCAAGTCTCAAGCTGTTGCACCTTCTGGTTTTATTTTGTCCTGACACAAAGAGGTAAAATGAGTTTCCAAGAGTCGTTCTTGTTGTATCATGATGGAGTACAAAATATTTCATTTTACCTAGGCACGATCCTGGAGTACAAAAGCTCCTGGTATACATTATATCAGAAAACGTCAAGTTTTCCAACACTGATGGCAACAGCGGTAAGACGTTGCCGGTTCCAGGCTGGTATACGTATGTCGACGCTGGTGGAGATTTATTGCTACTTTGGCATGGCTTACGGGTAAGATCATCAATGGAGTCGTGTTTCGGCACGAACTCATGAGTGCACATTTTACTGTTTGTTGTGTGATACCACCCAACTAGTTGTTTGTTTTCCTGTACCGCATAAGCATATAGGTGCTCGCAGGTTTGTTAAACGTGTTACCGTCCATGTTAGGGTAGCTATTAAGTGGTTTTGGCAGCGTTCAAACTGGAACATATAAGTCATCTGACATTTATGGTTATGCCCATTAAAGCCGACACGAGTTTTTGCTAATTTTTTTACAAGATTTACTTCAAAACTTGTGGCGGGATAGAGTTTTGGGATCAGTGCCCGCGCTGATGAGTGCTTGTTGCGCGAGCACCGACCCCACCTTGCGGTAGTGACATTCCAGATCACCGGCAGGAGTTGGGGGGGGGGGGGGGGGGGCAAAGGTTTAGGTGCCGCAACGCTGGGCGCGGCCCGTCTAACCCGCAGACACCAGCTGACCTTTCGCGCGGTCCCTGCTGCCGGCTATAGGTCATCGCGGTCAGGGGCAGACACTAACGCTTAAGCGCGAGCTCGACCGGCCACGGGTTGGGGAATCCGAAGACAGGAGGTCCGACTAACTGAACTACCGGGGCGGACAGTGAAAGATCCACACTTCCGATAGTAGTTGGCCAGTATCGATTGCGGGCTCGAATTTCAATTACACTTATGATCAAATTGTGGAAAGAGGGTGAACATCATTCGGATGCGCGCAGTCGCGATGTTGTGTAACGTGGCATCAATACCGTACCCGCACCGATCCAAGATTTATGTTCCCCCTGACCTCGGCGCATTCGTGGTTTTCTAGCTTCCCCGGGGAGCCTAGTCATGAGTTGTCTCGTCATGTCACGTCACTAGTGATGTTGTGGAGCATGTCAGCGATGTCTACATCGATACGTGCATGTGTTCATGGATATTCCACAGTTTTGTTGAGTTGTGACGTTCGCTAGCCTGCCTCACGGTGCCGGCACCGTGTGTCGGCGACCGCCGCCAGTCTGGTGCGGTCAGCTGTTGTGTCGTGCCGTGACCGCGGCCAATCAGCGCCGAGCCGTCCTGTGACGTCACCGCCACGTCCGGCAGCGGGAGCATGGAGCCGGCCTTCTACCGGGGCGATCTGCTGTTCCTGACAAACTACCAGGAGGAGCCGATCAGGGCCGGAGAGATCGTGGTCTTCAAGGTTGAGGGCAGGGATATCCCGATCGTGCATAGAGTCCTCAAACTACACGAACGGTGAGAATGATACCGTGGTTATGGCAGCGGTTGTCGTCCGTTGAAATTCATGGATCTAATTGGTACGTCTGACAAAACACTTATTTGATCTGTTCATCTGATCAAACAATTATCCGATCTGTGCATCTGATAGGACGTGCTAATATATTTCAGAAATGTGGTGAATACAGTGGGCGGGACTCAGGGACCATTCGCCGCTATCCACACTGCGTACCCCGGGGTGCTGCCGACGCGCCGTGAAGGCCGTTTTGTGCTGTGGTGCACGCGCTCTCACACGTCCAACCCCGGCCACCCGCAGCGAAAACGGCACGGTCAAGTTCCTGACCAAAGGGGACAACAACAGCGTGGACGACCGCGGCCTGTACGCGCCGGGCCAGCTGTGGCTCACCAAGCGCGACGTGGTGGGGCGCGCGCGCGGTTTCGTCCCCTACATCGGCGTCGTCACCATCCTCATGAACGACTACCCAAAGCTGAAGGTGAGCGCGCTGGTCGGACGTACTGCCACCGGCAGGCGCAGTCAGGGAACTTCCAGAAGTGGGCACAGTGCGCGGGGAAATGCTCAACCGAAAAGACGATAGCGCGCGGGTGTAATATTGCAGAAACGGGCCTGCCAACAGTTTTCTGATGTTTTCTCTCGTAGAACTAGCAGGGATTTAAAACAATGTAATCCAGAACAGCAAATATGTTACCGTTTCTGGGCTTTGCCTTGTATTGCAGGGCTTGAAGTTAAGGCACTTATGGAAAATGGAAGCGCTGCTACAGTGTGCGCCCCTCCATAAAGCCCACGCGTGGCAAGCAACTGCTCAATTATTTCAGCACCCAGGCATCTTGCAGAATAGAGGATGTCAAGTGGATCAGGAATGTGCTGTATTCGTCCTGATATAATTAATAGACGATGCTTCTACAAGTCTAATACATTCTGGGTCTTTCCGCGAACAGCTTTGCGACGGGATTTGTGGCATTTATTGCCCACTCGTACCGCGAATTTAGTGCCCGGCAAAATGGCTGCCACGATCCCATAAGCCCCTTTGTTGACTGGTTGCGGTAACGGGCGCTTGAGCGGGGTCCATGTGAACTTAAGCCTGCTCGTCGATTAAGCCAGCTGAAAACCTGTCGTTTTAATTTACCATCCTACAACTCGGGGGGGGCCCCTGCCGTCAGGTCGCTTGTGAGCCTTGTAGCCCTTAGCCTGCGCTCAGTGTGCGCTTACAAACGTCTCCACCTCTGTTCCAGTACGCTGTTCTAGCGTGCCTGGGATTATTCGTGCTCATCCATCGAGAGTGAGCCGCGACGAGAGCCGACGTGACGTCACGGCGTGCACCAGTGGCGTCAGGGCGCGCAGCGCTGCGTGGGCGGCTGGACGCCTGCGATGTGGGTTTTTTTTAGCCGGTGCTGGTGTGCGTGATCTTTCCGTGCGCGGGACGACGGCGTCCTGCGCAAAACCACGATCTGGCGTTGGTTGTGTATTGGCGAGATGGGGTTACACGTGTTCTCGTGGTACGTGGCGCCGGCGCGTGTGCCGCGCACGCCGGCGAATACAAGCACACTTGGTGCCAGCGCTTGGCGAAAGGCTGCCGGCGGAGAGGCCGTCTATGCATACTACGAGGCTACAGCGAGCAACAGCAGCACTGCCCACGTATAACGATAACATGTTTAGCTCCGAAGACGAAGGCAACACTCGCGTCTCCTCGGACGTAATGGGTAGCAGAACACGCACAACGAACAACAATTACCCACCTATGATGGATGCAATCTTGCCGCCACCCGACACGTGCCGAAGAATACGTAACCCCTTTGAGTTTGTGCAGCGGTGAAGCGCTCTGGGCCTCAGGAGCCCAGGCCGCTCTGCCAGTCACCGCACACGACAAAACATGGAAGCGGTTAGAGCAATAACACCAGTGCAACTGGTATGCGGGGGAAGTACGACGTTTCAGGCTCGAGCTTTGAGGGATCGGGCTCTTACTCAAGAATGCCAAGTTTTGTTTCTTCCCGGAATGAGCAGACGGCGAGACTCTGGAAAGACGTAACCCAACACGGATGCTGAACGGCGGATATTGGCTTTTACGCGTTCCCTCCGGCCGTGATCCAGTGGATATTGCCACCGCTGGCAATATTGTTATCGCTCAATGAAACCCCCCAAACTGCGAAGACTTGCGAAGGCGCGGAGGAAACCCCTGCCTAAAACGTTCCCGCACAGGAATGACATAACTTCACATGAAAAATAAAAAACTGATATGCCGCCCGAACTGTAAACCTACATGCTGACGTGTTTACATACACATGACGCGACAAACAGCCCGATTCGAATCGGAAAGCAGCTTAACCAGTCTTCCACATTGACTCAGAAGCGGCGGCCCTCGCGAGTTGTTCCATCAGACTCCTCATGTACTCCCACCAAAATGGCGCCATTCAGAAAAATTACCTTGGTGGCCCGCATCGTGCCATATTTCTGTATGAATAATTCACGACTAAAAACATGTCAGTCCAGCGCCAATTCGGCCACGCCGGCTCCGACCCGCGGGGTAGATGCCAGCTTCAGTCCGCGTCAAGGCCCCGTCGCCGCGCTGCGGCGAGAACGTCGAGCGTTTCGAATCCGTACGTCCGGAAGCCTACTCCCGCCGTCGTGTTTGACGTGAACATGCGGTCCTTGTGGTATTATCTGGGTTTTTAGACTTGAAGTATCAAAACGCATTAGTGCTATATGTTTGAGGACCCAGGTGCCCTTCCTTGTGTCACGGGATTGATTGGGGCTAAAAAACAGCTTGTACCAAATTTTCAGCCTGTTTTAAAAACAAGAAAACCACTGGCGTGCCCGGATTCTGGACCGGGCGTCAACATGCAGCAAGACTCCTGCCAATCAGCTTGCGAGAACTATTACCGAAATTCTCGCGACATTTAGTTCCATGAGGATGTGATGTTCTTAGATGATGAAAATTGTCATGGTCAATGAAGGGACTAGAAAGACGAGCGAACACTCCGAGAACTGCCGGGCACGCTCACGAACAACAGACGGAATGACTCACCCGAAAACGGCCGACCCCGCTGCATCTGCACCCAAACAAGCACAACAGGCGGCCACCTTGACAGCCTGCGCCACAATGCAAACGCGTCTCCGATGCGGCGCGACTATCGCCGACGCGCACATAGTCGGCCGCATCGCTAAGTAGATGGCCAAAATGCCTATAAATATACCGCCAGACGCGTGGGCCACGCTGACAAAGTTCTTCAGGGGACGAGTCGGTCCATGTATCACAACGCTGCGGCGGGGCTGGGGCCGTGGCAGCCGGAGCTGGAGCCGGAGCCGGAGCCGGCACGGCCTCAGATGGTCAGGTGCATCCGTTCCGAGTCGGTACCCCACCTGGCGGAGAGAGCGCGCGGTCAGAGGCGGACGCCCACTGCCGGATCAGCGCCGGGGCGCCGACGGTCCGCCAGCTGCTGCGGCGGGGGCCCGCGACCAGGAAAACGGCACGGCCGGTTTGCATTGGATCAGTCTTCCCTTATATGCGTGATTGATTAAAGCCGTCAGCACGTCATTATTTGAAGGGCCCACCAGGAATTCCTGCATCGGCGTAGCGCACGTCGTGGCATGTCTTACCGCCTCTTACCGTGCGATGTGGCCTATCGAATCACATTTTGGATTGATCTCGAATGACTTCCAAAGATCACGAGGGTAGCAGCACACGTGTCATATCACTTCTCTCCTTCAGAACCGGGCACGGTAGGTCCGCACCGAGACAAGCGCACGCCTCAGAGTGAGGTTTCCACTTCTTCGCCTCGCCAACGCCTGGCAACGGCATCAATGGACTTCGTGGCAGCAAGCTGATACATGCCGGTCAAACATGGCGAGACGACTGAGACTAGGCTCGTCTAAATTTCATTGCGATACCGAACGGCAGCAGAGACGCGCGTGACAACCAAAGGGGTTGCGTGACTCGTCTTCGAGAGACGACTTGGCTTTGAGTCGTCGACAGACACAGGCCTGGGCTCCGCCGGGTCTGCAAAACGCACGCGGGCACAGTCATGTTTTCAGCGTCACGCACTGCCGTCTTAATGAATATCCCTTCATCCTATGCCCTACTACGGGCACATGCGTGTTTTCGGGCACTGCCTGGGCCGTCGAAAGGTCCCTGCAATGCCCCCCCCCCCCCCCACGCACACACATGGCACAGCGCCTTCGCGGACAAGCGACACTGATACCAACGCCCCTGCTGCGACAACCAGTTTGCGGGGCGGAGCGGTGCCACGGGCGTGCCTCTGGAGTGGTCAACCTACCACTGGGACATCCGGGACGCCACGTGAAACTCGACCACACCGAGCAGGACTCTGGCAGGATCGGGCTGGATCCTGCATCTGCCTTCTAGTCGCTCTGGAGCCGCTTGTCCTTCACACAACGAAACCAAGGAAGACAAAACAAAACTGAGAGTAATCGTGTATTGAGGGAATACATGGGGAACGTATCAAAACGTAAAAGAACGAAACGCAATTTAAAGGATATCAACTACGTGCATAGCATCACTTATCTCTTAGAAATAAAACAACCAGTAACGGTAGCCCCCGATCATGTCATCAGTCGGGTCACCATTACCGCAGACTGCTCCTGACCTACCCGATTAAATGAAGAACCGAACCTATACTATGCCTAACAGAACCTGATACCGCTGAAATCCCAGCCTGGTTAGTGGCATATGCCAGTGCAAGAAGCCATAGCAATAAGCTAGCTATGTCTAGCTTACAAGGTGCAGTCTAGCTCAGCAATAAGCCGCAGTCTAGCTCAACCTCCAGTATCATAGCCGGCGCACCAATACGTCAAGTGACTCCCATGTATCGTAACGGCGCTATACAATATCCTCAATTACCATATGCAACACAAAGCCACGCCGCTATACAAATATCACACCAGTATCGAGCGGCGGACATGTGCCGAGTCGCTACAGCGCCGTCCCGCGTCCATCGCACTGGCCCGGTTTCGTTCAGCCGATCCAGCGTGGCCCCGGGGCACGGCCGACTCGCAGTCGGTCAAGACCGGACCTGGGCTCCGCCACAGCACCCCTCCCCCCCCGCACGTGTTCGGAGCTCCCAGTCCGCCCCCGGTCTTCACACCCCGCAGCACAGGTTCACACTAGCCCCGGACCCACGCACCAGTGCCGGCCGCGGGACACCACCCCGGACCCACGACCAGTGCCGACCCCAACCCCGGACCCACGGCCAGTGCCGGCCGCCGGACACCCACCCCGCACCCACGGCCAGTGCCGGCCGCCGGACACCAACCTCGGACCCACAGCCAGTGCCGGCCGCCGGACACCAACCCCGCACCCACGGCCAGTGCCGGCAGCCGGGCGGAGGAGGGCCGTCAGACCCAGGCCTACTGCTAACGTAGCGCAACCGGCCGCTAGCGACCGGCAGACGCCGCGCACTAATGGAAGACATGATCGTTTTGTTGCAGCCGTGTCTCTCGACAAACGGCAAACTATAAGTAGTAAACGCTCAGACGCAAGAAACTAACAAAAATACCTAGCACCCTTATATATTTGGATATATATATATATATATATATATATATATATATAAATGTAGACAAGCTATAAAGCTGTGATTGTTTTGGACACCGGCGGTTTTATACCTCGCTGTAGTCAATTGCATGACTGGGGACACAGCCACAGGACTCCAGCAACAAGCCAGCATAGTCTTCACCCCGTTAACAAATGTAGTATCATCGCTGGCATCGGGACGTTCCGCCACCCATCCCCGTCAGTCTTGGACGGGACCTTGGGCATGTTGGCAATCCTCCTCCGTCCCAGGAACTATTCTTATCTGATCCATCTTCACACATTTTTGACGTGAACAAAAAGTAAAAAAGAAATCTTTAATTCCAGACGGGAGGTAAAATGTTGGAGCCGTTGATCGTCCAACGGGTGAAATCAGACACGCGTAAGGCCACGTTTGCATAGAACATGTCAACTGCCATCGACACCACTCCATATACCGCTACTTTTGGCAACACAGCTTCCACATCACATCTCCGACAAGCACATCCGACACCAGTAAGCAGCCCCCAGCCCAGGGACCAGCCGACATCGCCCGGTCCCGTCGCGCCTCCCGAGTGACGTCACACCAGTGACGTCACAAACAGCCGGCGGCGCACTCAGCACCCAGCCCGGTCCCGCGATACAGACAGGGTGTAGGGCCGCGCCACTCCTTTATCTGAAAATGCCCAAAACGGCTCCGTCACAACACGGCTTGCGCTTGCACAGCAAAAACAAGATAACAGGCCGAGCCCACACAAAGTCCAGAAAGAAAGCACAACACAGCCCTCGCAGCGAAACGGAACAAAACGGCAGGCTAGAGATACATAGCGAACTTAGGAGCAACGACCCAGTGCTACGGACAACTCAGAAGAACAAAAGCCGCCCAGCGAGAGGCACCACGGGCCTGGGGCTGGCGTGACCGGCGCTAGCCCCACACAGGACAGGGCAGGGGCCCGAGCTCACAGGTTGTTGTACCGGCCCGCTGTGGCCTGGCGACGCCGGTAGATCTTCAGCCCGATGAAGACGCCCGCAATGACGACCAGACAGAACACCATACCACCTGGGACAGAGGCGATAGGGGTTCTCAGAGCTGTGACCCCACCCTCTCTCTCTGTCTCTCTCTGTCTCTCTCTCCCCCCTCTCTCTCCCTCTCTCACTCCCTCCCTCATCCCCTCTCTCACCCTCTACTTCACATCCTCTTTCATCTTATCTCTCGCTCCCATCTCACCCCCTATCTCACACCCTCTCTCGCTCCCTCTCTCACTCCCTCCGGCCTGGTCCGTAACACAGTCAATCTGAACAATCTTCCCACACTTCCTGCTCACAGCGACACGCCTGCTATTGCCGAAAAGGCAGTTAGTACAGTGATTATAAAAATGTCTGAAGGGCTGCAGTCATCTTCCTGCAAAGCTTCGCAACTTTTTGACAATAAAAGTCGTCACTGACAGTCAAACGACAACACAGTATCCAAACATGCTACAGCAGAGCAGCAATGCAACCTCATCATTCGTACCTGTTCAAACTACACCAGCAGCCCCGAAGAAATTAGCCCAACCCGTCCACATATTGTACTATCAGGCTTCGCACACACACACAACACAAATTACTACAGTGAAGAATGTTTGTGCAGTTTGTACTGTAATACAAGAGGCCGTGCCCAATTGATAGTTTTAAAGGGATGGTAACGAGCCCGTGCCACTTACCGACGAAGCTGCCAAAGCTGAAGCCGGTCCTCGCCGCCGGCGTCGGTGTCGGACCCGGAGTCGGGCCCGGCGTCGGACCCGGGGTGGGACTCGGCGACGGCGGCACCATCGTAGGGGGCACTGTGGGCGGACAGGCACCTCAGTGGCCGCGGAGGCCCTGGGGAGAGAGCTGGACGCCGGGGCCACCTCGGCGCCCCTGGCCTCACCGGCCGGTACCGATTTCGGTCCGACCAACACCGCAGTGCCGTGCACCGGGCCACAGCGAGGAGACAAGGCTGTGCGGCAGACATCGCTGCGCGCAGCCGGGACAACAGCCGACGGTACAACGAGCCCCCACTGCGTCCCCGGCCGAACAGGGCGGGCACGCCCCGCTAACTGGCCAGATAAACGACTCGCAGTTCTCGGGGTTTATGGGCGCGCCGACTACGAGGTCATCGCGCTGATCCTCGCAGTTCTCAAATGTCGCTTATTGTACATGCAGAGCAGCGCCACTCAGGGTACAGGGTTGTCAGGGCCGCGCACTGGCACCCACCCCTGTCGGCAACGACAAACGTACCGTCTGTGGTGGGCTCTGGCTCCGGTGTGGTGGGAGGCTCGGTGGTGGGAGGCTCGGTGGTCGGAGGTTCCGTGGTCGGAGGCTCGGTGGTCGGAGGCTCGGTGGTGGGAGGCTCGGTAGTGGGAGGCTCGGTGGTGGGAGGCTCGGTGGTGGGAGGCTCGGTGGTGGGAGGCTCGGTGGTGGGAGGCTCGGTGGGCGTATCGGTAGTAGGCGGGTTAACGGTAGACGTGGGAAAAGTCGTGCTCGGCTCGGGCGTTGTGCTGGGCTCGGGACCATCGCCTGCAGGCAAGAAGTGATTTTGACACACAAATTAACCATACGGTTCACGCATCATCTCATCACCAGGCACGAAAAAAGCAAACAAAACGGCCGCTGGGAAAAGGCAACTGAAATGCTGAGCACGCGTCATACCTCTCGCCATCTCTCGAGGATTACTTATTATTACACAACATTACAACTTATTATCGTACCTTCGCCGCAGTGACAACGTATTTTTAACATGGCTCACATTGTCAACACTTGTATCTTATCGTCAAGCAAAAAAACTGTAGACCCTTTCGCCGTGCGAGGTGGGTGCCAATGCTCATGCTTTTGACAGGACGAAATTTAAAAATCAAGTTATTTTGCTTTGCCGCCTGGTCAGGACCCCTTCCAGCCCTGATGAAGTTGCTAAGTGAAATATGCTGACTCGGAACCCTACTCCACTCGCGTGGACGTATTCGAGATGCCCCCATGAACAAGGTCAGCACCATGTTCTGCAGGGCAGTGTTCTGAAGTTTAAGACGTGCTGACGTGCTAGTGTTGTAACACAGACACCAAAACAGATAAAAACGCTTAAGTCGGTTTCAAAGGAATATACCGTGATATATGCCTCAGTCATTAAATGAAACGCATTTCCCAACACCACACAGGATCCCACGATTGTAAACAACCACCACAGACATTAACAACCAGCGGAATTCATGATCTAGGAATGACAAAGCAGAAAATACAAGAACAAGACCATGCCCGTTTGTCTGGAACTGTCCACCATAACAAAACAAGACGAATGGAGGCACCACCCAGGTGCGCCAGGCCGCCGGCGCGCGTCTTACACTGGGAGGCGTCGATCGGGTGGCAGCCCTCGGCTGCGCCGCCCGTCGTGTTGCTACAGTGATCCATATGCGCCTGCTGCTGACACACGAACCAGCTGCAGTTGGGCGTCGCCGAGCACGCGCTGCAGTTGGTCGGTTGGTCGCACCCTCCCGAGTCTGGCGGGGTTTAGTACATGCTTTTAATACGATGCGGCAAGAACGCAGCTTTTCTTTTACAGCAGCGCCCCGGGACGACAACTCTGCGGCAATGACACGTGAGAAATCAAATACTCGGCGAAGGCAAATGCTTTAAAGTCGATGATATCTAGAGTAAGCCCAGCGTTTACCACCATGAGCTTGACCTACCACGTGGTGATATTATTGTTCGAAGCTTACTTCAGAAGCCATGCATCGGACGCTGGCCAAGAGGGAACAGACATATGCGCCTTTTCAATACACCCGCTTCAAATACCCGCCATCAACCAAAGGCCCAAACGTCCTGGCTGGACACGGCCTGGTACAACACCGATGTGCGCAGCGGCTTAGTCCGTACAGCCACATCTCACAGGACCATCACATGAAACAATTAAACTATTGATAATCTTTCGATTCTTTCCGTAGAGAGGTACACAAGCTGGACGCTGCTGTCAACTTGTCAACTTATCAACGTCGTCATGATGGTTAACACTGTGTTAACGTGTTTCGCGCCCCAGCCGATACGTTGTCAGCGTCATATTCCTGCTCTAACCGGTGTGGTGTTTTACGCACCAGCTACAGCTCCCGGTCAAAGCAACAGGCGGTCGAAATATCCAATACAAGCTCAACAAAAACACCACAGCAGGCTTCGACGTAACAACTAACAGCAGCGTGTTCTTCACGATCGATATCGGTCACATGCTGTCGCCCGAATACGGTACGCTGCACTCAGCCCACGTCCCGAGTTGAGCACTCTTTAATGGACAGGCCCACGGTAACACCAGAGCTCGGGTCAGACCGCTCCGAAGGTCAGGTCACGCTCGATTCACACATTAATACAATGACGTCGAGACTGTGTCGACCGAAGACGTCGAGCTGGATGCCTTCATAGTCCACTGTGCAATGCTGGAATGAGCAAGCATTAAAGCTTTGACGTTCTTTCGATGCTGGTTTTGCCCACCCCCCCCCCCGTCCCCCGCCCGCTAAGAGAAACAAATATTTGGGACACAAGTTAATTGTCATGAGATTACACACATCCGCCAAAAACTGGCAACCTTAATCACCCAAATGGGTGAATTCGGAATATCTGCATTTTTGATTGCTGTGATCGAAGAATTGGGCAAAACCGCCACTATCTTGGAAGAGCAATGCTCACAACAGCCTGGGCTGTGCACCTATGTATTTGCATTGTCCGGTCTCTCTCGGTTCAGGCCACAACGGGTTGCATATGAGATGACACATTTATGCACTGCATTCGTGTTGTATTGCTGCTTCCTGGCTATTGCTGTCCAGCCTGCGGATCAGACAGCGCCAGGACACAGTGTTCGAAACGCGTTGTTCACAATTTTCGCCTTAACGGTACAGCGGTCTAACCTTTGTACCTGCCCTCGCTGCCGAGACGTTCACATCGATCCATAAAAACATGCGGAGCCGCCTGTATCTGCGGTCTACGCTGTCTACACAGATAGACACACCATTGTTCCAGCCAGACTACCGTTACCACCGTCTCCTTCACCGTTACTAAGTCTCCGGAGGTCACGACGCCCGGTCACCCAGAGCTATAGTCGCAACGCCGCCATTTCGAGCGCGCCCTTCTCTTGACGGTGTGCTCACTCCCGGTACGTACCCGAGGCGGACGTCTGCGGCACCGACAGGCCCGCCAGCAGGAGTGCCGACAGCACCGCGTACATCACGTGCTGTCCTTCCATTCTGACCGCTCCGTGCCCTGGCGGAACAGGCAGGGTCACCCAGTGAGCAGTGTCCATCACCTG